ACATACATACACTAGACTAAACAGCGGCGAAAAAGTGGCCACTACATACTCTCCCACTCACACATATCATGTATGTCTGTGGGAAAAAAGCTTACAACTAAACTAAGGAACTCAAGTAAAGTTTTCTGAAAATAACCCAGAGCTGACAAGTCAGTAGGAGGGCCTGGATGCTTTCAAGACACAGTTTTTAACCAAGACTTGGACCTCCAACTGTTTTCTTAAACAAAGATTTACATCCTATCCCTGGCTAAATTACTTATAAATTAATCAAATTAATTACTCTGAGCGGATAAGCAGGAGGCTGGACAAGATAGTGCTGATGTCAGCCAATGAAGTCTGTGTTGTTTTAACTAAACATATCAGCTTAGTTTTAAACAGATCTACTGTGCACAAATACGGTAAGGGACCCACATCCTACCCGAATCTTAGTTCTTAGTCCTCAACACAAGGATTAAAATGATCACCTTAACTTGAATATTCGTAGAACAATTTAATTCAAGTATTTGTTTTGGTTTAAAAATATTTCTATAGTATATTTTCATGGAGATGTAGGGGAGGGAAGGAAACTAAATTACCCCTTTAATGTATCATAACTAGAACTTCGTAAAGTCAGTGTTACAGAGTATATACACCAAAGATACCAAATCCAGAATGTTTGGGTATTACTTCCTTGTTTTCTAAGTTAGGGCCCATTTTATGTGATATTTATTAATATTTTATAGCTATTGCCTACCCAGTTACCAAAAAGCCCCCCACCCCCACCAAAGTTTACAACTTGGAAACATAGACTTTTATGGTTGTGAATCTGAAAGGTTGTTTTTAAATAATTAGAAGGTCGTGATTTTTTAATTCACAGATTGACTGTACTAGTTCACCTTTGAGTAATGGAAATCTCTGTTTAAACATTCTTTTGGCAATAGGCATGAAGCATTAGATCTTATTTCCAAGCTTTACCAGCTGGGTTTTGTCATTAACATTTATTAACAATCTAAGATATGACTTCTGCTGTCTAATCTGTATTGCACAAATGTTTTGTATGGCCCTCCGGAGGATTCTGCTGTGACAAATTACTGGCAGAGATTATAGTCCCGTGGCTATTCACCAGAGGCAATGTAAAATTAACATGGTACTAATCCAATTTAAACAAAATGTTGCACAAACAGTTCTCTGAACAAAAGCAGAGAATTCCAACTTTATATTCAAACACAATGTTTTTAATAAAACATTTTTGTAAAAAAACTGAAGTAACTTTCACACATATGAATTGTGCCTATTTGATAAAGTTATTAATTTGAATCTTTTCAGGACAGTTAGTGGCAGAGCATGACTCACTTTGGTAATCCCGACATCTGTTACATTTCTTCTGAAAGTGTTGTGCCTCAAATGGGGCCTATGGATGGTTCCTACTGGACTTGAAATCTGTTTACAGTGTTGTTTCTCAAGCAGAACATTTGTGGGATAAGGAATGGAACTGGTCTGTAATTAAGATCATTGCATTCATAAAAAGAAAAGGTTTTCTTTCATGATGTAGTAGTTTACAGTTGAATCAATAATTTAACATTGTTTTCTTCTTAATACTCTTATAACTCAAAAGAATGGAGGCCTCTGAACTTTTGTGACCTTATTATTACAAAAAAAGAGCTAAAATTACTTTGTCAATGTTTTTTAGGCAAGAGAGTAGAAAATACATAGAAAGAGAGAGTAAACCGAAAATCATGGATCAAGTGTAAAGATAAAGATGACACATTTGTAAGAAGTAATTGGGTGGGTCTCCTTTTGGAGGAGACTACTTCAGTATCTCAAGGTAACACTGACAAAGTGTCACTAACTTGGAAGAGTCCATTCAGAACATTATTTATTTACTTGTATTTTTAGGACTACCTCAGAGAAAACAATGTCATCTGTCAATCTACACATATGAACATAACAGTTTACTTGAAGTAAAAAACTTTTGTGTGGATATTTCTTAATAAAAAACATGACACTATGACGAAATTATCTCTTTCAATAATTATTACTCATTTCTCCAAAAGAAATGCCCTAATCGGCAACTAACACACTTCCATCTTTTCATTACTAATTTTGGTAATGCCTTGTAACACAGGTGGCAGACACAAGGCCCACGGGCTGAATCTGGCCCTCTACCTAGTTTCTACCTGGCGACAGAACTGAGTTCCTTGCCCCTTAGTTACACTTACATAGTCCTAAAACTGCACTCACCCTTTGAAGGCAACCTCGAGGCTGATGTAGTCCCTGGTGAAAATGAACTTGACGCCCCTGCCTTATAATTAATGATCATTGCATTAGCCTCTTCACCTTCGCGCCGCTACGTTTTCAACAAAAAGCACTATTTTCCATTTCGCCCCCTTGTACTGTTTGGAAACTTTAAATGATTTCAAATATAATAATGATATTTGAAACATTTCTCCATTAGCTTTGAGTGACAAAATACAATGATAAACCATTGTCTTCTTGTTTTCCTAATATTCATCTTCATTTGCATTCTCGCTGCCCTGAGATATAATTGTTATCAGATGAACTTGAGGTTCCCCAGGGGAGACAACTGCTGTTATCAAGAGCATCTACCATGGTCCAAGATGCATTTGTTCATTTTTCCTTATTCATTCTTATTTGAGTAGGCTCTCAGTAAGTACTTGCTGAATGAATGGGAAAAAATGAACAAATGCAATTAACCACAGAGGTTTCTTTAGACTCAATGCACTCTCATCTCCTTACGCACAAACTTTAGGAAGCATACCTACTGACACTTACAGATGTGTACATTTAGCCCTTGTATGTGTTTTTTCCCTTCTGTACAGTTTTTACAGAACATCTATTAAAACGACCATCCCAATACAAAGTATTATTATTATTCAAACTATATTCTACTCTACTCCCCTACTGCTGTTACTATAAAACAATATCCTCTTGTTCTCTAGACTTAAAATTGTTGATGCCTATCAGTTCTTTGAACAGTGAGTCATAAGTACTTCCAATATTTGTTCCGTTCATCAATATCCAAAGCTACCATCTAAATTAGGTGCCCACTGACTGAAACCAAGAACACTACACATAATGATGAGCTTTATGGCTCATCTCCTTTTTTTGACAGTTATCACTTATTGAGCATGTACTACATACAGACACTATTAAATGCTTCTAAATTCACTTAATTTTCAGAACAATCTGTGAGGAAAAATTTCAACATAAAAATGAGAATAATAGAGAAGTTAAATTATCCAAGCTGCAGAAGTAAAGAGGTCCATCTCAAATATTGTCTTTTCTATGACACCTTTCCTAAATCCTATTACATAAATGTACTCTGTATGGCTCTTTTCAGGGCTACTACAATTAGGTAGTAAATGTTGTATTTATAGCTTTCTTCCCTAGTACTAAGTTGTAGGCTCCCCAGGGGAAAGATTTGTTTTACTTGTAATTAATAAACCTAGGGCAATACCTTGAATATAGGAGACCCTCAGTACAAAATATGATTATTCACTCATCTGTCTTCAGTTCTGTGAACATATATAAAATTTGTGCTATTGTTAATACAATGGTCCCCCCTCTCTGCGGTTTTCAGTGGTTTCAGTTATACATGTCAAGATCCAAAAGTATTAAATGGAAAATTCCAGAGAGAAACAATTCCTAAGCTCTAAATAACTGCACACCATTCTTAGTGTGATGAAATAATCTTGCAGCCCTACTCCACCCCACCCAGGTCAATCACCCCTTGATTGAGCACAGCCACGCTGTCCACACTACCCACTCAGCAGTCACTTAGTAGCCCTCTCAGGTATCGGGTCAGCTACTGTGGTACTGCAGTCCCGTGTTTCAGCAATCCTAATGCTGCATCACACTGGCTATGTCATTCACCTCACTTCACCCCAGCACACATCAGTTTTACTGCATCATCTCACATCATCACACAGTGAATACAATAAGATATTTGAGATAGAAACAAATAACTGATTATAGTATATTGTTACAACTGTTCTATTTTTAGTTATTGCTATTCATCTCCTACTGTGCCTAGTTTATAAACTAAACTTCATCATACATATGCACATACAGGGAAGAAGGAGCATGGACAGGGTTCAGTACTATCTGTGGTTTCAGGCATCCATCAGGGATCTTGGAATGCATCCCCTAGATTAGCACAGGACTACTATATTATTTTATACTTGTAATCTCCACTCGTCTACAAGCTATGTTAGCATAATTTGCCTTATTTATTCTCATGCAGCCTAGTTCATACTCCTTTATGAAGGTGGTAAGCATTTAGTGCAATACCATAAGGATGCTTAATAGCATTTGATGGTTATGGAGATACATTAAGGAAAATTCAAATCTGAAAAGACTCTGTATACCAAATTTCATTTAGAATAAAACTGACACATTAAAACCAAAATTTAGAATAAGCTAACCATTACTGATCCATGTATTACCTAGTAGAAGAAGAGAAAAAATATAGAATTCAGTAAACTATCATTTTTAAACTCTTAGAGAATTATGCAAAAATTCCCTGTGATTCCTTCCTTAATTGAGTAAGTTACTGTGTCTTCTTAGGAATAACATCTAAAATATGTTCTTATGTTCTTAAGTTTGAAGACATGTTAAATTTTTAAATTTATCCTTAAGTTTCTCCCCTCAAAGGTATTCCCGATAGAAAGAAATTAAGACTAAAGAAAAAAATGGTAGTTTTATTAAGTACAGTAAAGAAGTTACCCAACTTCTTCTGGGAATGAGAACAGTTGGCAATTAAAGAAAAGGACCTAAGTGTTTGAAGTTTCAGTTTTTAATTTACAAAAGGAGGATCTTACATATATAACAACAACAACAACAACAAAATAGCCCAAATCTCAAAAACTGCAATGGAGATTCAAATGCAGACTTCTGAACATAACAGGTATCGCCAAATATGCAAACTTATAGAGAATCAAGGGAAAAAGACATGAAAAGAATAATCCACCATCAGCTGGATACCTGTTTAAACTACATACCTGTTTAAGTCTGGCGAGTTCTTTCAAAGCTCGTCCCCATTGTTGCTTGTAATGTAGTTTAGACTTAGTTGCAGATTCCAACTTTCTTTCAAGTTCCACCTAACAGTGATTAAAATCATATCAAGTGAAACACTATCCCACTGAGTACAATCACTGAAAGATAATATATACAAAGAGTCTGGCTTAAGAAAAGAGTTTATATAGTGTAACATACGACATCATCTAAAACTGTTATATAATTTACTATAAATATTATGGCACATGAACATTTTCTTGTTTAAAATATAGTCATATTTTTACTGCCTAACAGCCTATACTAAAAGAAACTAAATTAGCCTTAACCTTCAGACAGTTACTGTAAATGTATTTAAAACATGTATATCACATAAAGATCATGGGTGAAAAACGCATTTTTTAAACAAAAAGCAGTTCTAAATGTTAGCATTCCAATTTAGTTGGCATTCTAAATCTTAGAACCAAATTATTCCTTTTGGAGGCCTTTCATTATGTGGAATTTTGTCTTACAACAAGGAAAGCTAGCAGATTCTTTTATAACTACATTTTGGCTAAAAATCATAAATAGAATGCCGAAAACAGTGAAATGTTTAATCAGAAAGCAGTTTACTAAGAAAGAGTACAAAGTCAAAAGTATTTTAAGAATGTTAAAATAAACCCAAGTGAAAGACAAGTAATGCTCCTAATAACAATCAGCTAACTTTTATTTTCTATTTTTCCTCAAATATATAAAGAAAAACATGAAAGTGATTCAATTAAAAAAATAAGGCTATTTATACTTGCAGCAGGCAATCTGTTGTGCATGAACTGAAGCCAACTTGGCTCTGTTTTGGAATGTACTCTTCTCAATGTTTCAACCCAAGTACCAAACAAATTCATGTAGCCGACAGACAGTTTTACTATTTAAGTGATAATGTAATAATGTGCCTGAATTACAGTAAAATACTGTTACTCTAAACTGGTCCAATTTTTTAATATGAAATGAACTTTTTCCCATACACACAATTCCTACTGTTTTGCAGGAAAATAAAACTGAAGACGCTACACAAAAATTTGAACTTCAGAAAACTCATGTGAGAAAAGCAGATTGCCAAACTGCTTTCAGAAAAGACCAGAACATTCTCTGAAGTAATATACGACTTTGCTGAGTCAAGGTCTCTTCTGCTTTACAAATTTCCACTGCTTGGATTTAAATATGTTGACATTTTATAACTAGATTAACACGTCTTAAATTGAATACTCTGAGATTATTGAAGATGATTTCCACTTATGCCCAAAGATTTGGACATACTACTTGGAAATTTAACAATAGGACATACGTCAGAGGAATAAGAAAAATCTTTTTAAAAACTGGTGTGAGATAAGAAAGTCGTCTCGGAGAAGTCTAGTATCCTGATGAGCCCAAGGATAACAGCTGGCACAGGGATGAACCTAGAGGGACTGCATACAGTCAATAGACTGACTTCATCAGAAAACGCTGTCTAGGTATGTTACATTGGTTTTGCATGATTATCAAAATAATTCACATCTGCATAGTTATTCACATTAATTTAAAACACATGTATAATCAATACATATATTTAACAAATAAAAAATTGTAGCTAGCAAATCTGAGACATAAACCTCATTTCTCTAATTTATTCCTATTACCAAATCAACTACTACTAACTTTTTTATTTTTAAGGACACAGATGCCTCTATAATTCTAAAGAAATATATGGACCCAAGTCCCAGAAAAATGCACACAACCAAAGACCTGGAGTAAAGAGCCCTTATTGGGAGTCTATTTGAGTCTTGGGAAGCATTCGCACTGATATGTCATATAGACTTCTCTCTTGAAGTATTTCCAGTTTTAGTATTTTATATTCCTAATGCCCTTTCCTTAGCTCAGGCTCTTCTAGTGTCTCCTCAGCCTCAAATCTACCTATCCACAAATTTTGCAAATCACTATTAGATCAATTTGCTCTCTACTAAATAATCTGCTTCTTGCTTGTAGTATTGAGCCTAAACTCTTCTGCTAGGTTTCAAGGCAGTCCAAGATATAATTTCCATCCTATGTGTTTAACCTGCTTTCTTGGTATGCCTCAACAGGACGCCCTCTACTCCAACCACCAGGTGGGGTCCCCTACACACCCCTTTCTCTTTGCCTAAATTACCTCAGTACTTTCTTTTTCTTCTCTGCTTACTTCAAACTTCATATTCAGCTCAAACATTACTTCAGTCTGGAGCTGTCTTAAAATTATTATATTCTGAACACCAAATGATTTCTCCTATTTGAAGTGCAAAGGGTTTCTATTACATTCCCTGGTAGCTGATTGATTATACACGGTCATTTAAGAGTCTGTGAGCCCTTTCCCCAGTTATATTACAAACTCTCTTCTCTCACTTTCCCCCTTTGCCCTAAGGGGAGAGCACAGAGTAGATACTCATCAAATATTCTTAAATACAAAAACAACCTACGTATGTCCTAATTAATTATGCTTTCCATATATTTTTTAAACTTTATTTATTTATTTATTTATCTTTAGAGGGGAAGGAGAGAGAGAGAGAAACATCAATGTATGGTTGCCTTTCATGCATCCCCTGCTGGGAACTGGCCTGCAGGGAACCAGCCTGCAACCCAGGCATGTGCCCTGACTGGGAATCGAACTGCGATCCTCTGGTTTGCAGGCCTGTGCTCAATCCACTGAGCTACACCAGCCAGAGCTCATATTTGATTTTTGAAAGTCCCATTTTTATGCAATCTAAAAGACATTTCCTAGCTAAAAGCAAATGAAAGTATTATTCACTTCTTACATAATAAAGGGAATCAAGAATTACATTTAATAAAACTAACATTAATTTCTTTTTAGACCTTTTCAGTGAAAATGGGAAAATTTGTGTTCTACTGAGGAGAAGGGGTAATCACAGAAGTAAAATGGTCTTAATCAGACACAACCAGAAATTAGATTAAATCAGATACTTCTTCACTCATGCCTTCCTTTTCATGGTTTCTTTTTTTTTTTTTTGGTCTTTGTTACTACTTAAGAAATAAGATTCTGCCCTCTTCTGGCTCCAAAAAATATTTACAAAGAATATTCAGAAGAGCTAAGAAGCCTTGCTTTACTAGGCACTTAAACATGCTGAATGAAATCATTAGGTCTGATAGAGAGGCTGTCCAATTATGCATTTTTTTCCCATCTCTCTTTCAAATTCATGGTGCTCTTTATATTTTTAATGCTTAGTGATTTTTACCCTTTTGGCAGAAGTGTAGTTAAAAGAAGGAATTTTAAAAATCACTTAAAATTTCTATAGTAAATATTATCTAGTTCTAGATTATATTCATAAAAGATGAGTAAGATAAAGCTTCTGCTCTAACTTTGAGATAATTAGTCTCTAAATTTCCCAAGATAGAACGGAACTATTCTTTGACACTCACTTAACAGAGCTTGTGAGACTTGATGAGATACTGTCTGCGTGGTTCAAATATCTGGTACGTACCACAGTATTCGTATTTATAGACCAAGAAATACTTTAATATTTGGTTTTTCAAAGTAAGGGTGGCAAATGGCTAGCTGGATTTAAGGTCATTGGTACAGAAATGAGAAGAATATCAAAAACAGAGAAATGAAGAGACTGTCTAGGTATAAGAAGCATAATCAACAAAACTTGTCAATTAGATACATGGTGGGGGGGGGGACCAAAGATAGCATGGCGATTAATGGGCCACAGGAACATGTAATAAGTTCAGAAACACTGGAAGAAACCAATGAACACCCTCCTCAACTCAGAAGGTTTTCTTCACCACACTTCCTTCCGTCTCCAAGCTTTCCATACATTCATGCTTTTTGCCTCTTGATGTTTCTTCTTTCAAAGAGTAACTTCTGTGCTCAATCTCTTGTTTTCTTTTCAATGCCAAATTTTCTTTACCCTCTGCAATCTGGCTTATTAAAAGGCAGTGACTTAACTGTCAAACACATGGCCTTTCCTCAACCTTTCTTGACTTTCCATTCATATTTTTACTTTCTCATTCTTAAAACTCCTCCTTTTCTTTTGGGCACCACACTAGACTGCATTTACAATTTCTCCAGATGTTCTTAGCTTCCTTTCCTAACTCTTGCATTTTTTGTCTATGAAGCTGAACTTCCCCACTAAGTTTTATTTTCAGTTGTCCTTCCTAAACACTCCTTGAACAATTTTATCTACTTCTAAGGCTGTTATTATAGTTTATTAAAATGATGGGAACAAATCTGTATGTCTAACCCTTTTCTCTCTTCCTACTATAGGTTTTCATTTTTAATCATATTTAGTGAACTTCTCCACTTTTTATGCTGTCTAAAAGCAGAAGTCTCCACAACTTCTACTTCCCCCAAAAGTTCATTAAAATTCATTTCTGTTAATATTTATTAAGCCAATCTTATAAACTTGATTATAACCTCTGACTTTTCTTTCCAGGTGAAATACAAATTCTTTAACTTAGCATTAAAGTCTTACCACATGCTCTTAACAAGCTTATTTATTTTCATTTTGAAATGAAATCAGAGTTTACGGATTAAACTCTATATTCTAGTCTAGCTATCTCCCAAATAGGCAATAGACTTTCTAACCTGAATACTTCTCCTTGGGATAACCTCACCTACATATTTACCTACTTAAAATTTCACCTATTCTTGGGTTCCATATCCAGTTTCACTTTTTCGTTATACCAATGTGTAAATCGCGGAAGTGACTTTGTTTTCCCTTTCCATTCAGAACATTTACTAAGAGAAAGCTAGGTGATACTTACTATCATTTACCTCTCACTATACTTGAGTAAGTTCCTTGTCCCCCCCTTTTTCAAAAAGATTTTATTTATTTACTTTTAGAGAGGGGGAGGGAGGGAAAAAGAGAGAGAATCATCAGTGTGTGGTTGCCTCTCATGTGCCCCACAGTGGGGACATGGCCTGCAACCCAGGCATGTGCCCCGACTGGGAATCAAACCAGCACCTCTTTGGTTTGTAGGTCAGCGCTCAGTCCACTGAGTCACCCCAGCCAGGGCCCTTGTCTCTTTTTATAACTTGTTATTTACTTGACCCTATCCTGAACATTTTTGTATCATTCAGGATAGTATTTAGCATGATGTCGTAAGTAGTTCAAATTTTTGTTGGATAGTGAAAAACCAATTATATCATGAAAAACCAATGATATCAATCAGCATCCTGCCAGGAAGCCAGTAATCACTCTAGGTCTTTTGAACAGATACAAGAATCTCATTATACAGATTAAGACAGAGCAGCAATGCCAAAAAGGGTACAGTGAGGTAACCTAGTGATTGGCAAGAGCAGGAAGTCCCTACTTCTGGGTAGGAGGGATTACAAAAGGAAGTAGTTCTTGCTATCAGGAACTCAGAAACGGGGTTTGTCCAGCGAGCTAGAATCACAGCGAGGATTGTCCAAAGGAAGCTGGAGAAGGGATGTCTTGTGGGAGATGGCACCATAAAAAGATACAACTAAAACCAGGGCAAAAAAAAAGCTAAGAGAAGAAAAAAATTACTCTAGCATTGACTAGAGTGGGTAAATGGGAATTCACCAATCTTCTGTTAGTGCCCCCTAGTGGGTGAATCTACAGAAACAAAAGGGCACAGAAGCCTTCAATACAAAGCTGAGAGGGAAAAACAACAGGCAATGACTGGCAATGATATTCTTAAACTTCTAAAGGTGTTTTTTCAGTTTATTGCCTGTTATTTTCCTGTATATGCTATATCTTTTTAATAATGCCTAAAATTATCAAACTAAAATGTAAGAACACATACTGTCAAACTTAGGTTGTCTGTTGCACATTATACCTTTTTGAATGCCCAGAACCTAACTAAATGTTCTATTTGAAGGGAATCCCAATATCTGTGAGAGGGAGGATCTGGCATCTAATGACAGAAAACAAAATAGGGTGGATATGCCTTCTTCCAAACTAAGAGCAAAGTACATACAGGCCTATGATTTAAATAAATGCTCCTGTCTGGGACACTGAATCTAAAGAGTAGAAGTACGTGGAGAGAGTATTCACAATGGCTACCGCAAAACTGGGGCTTCGGCGGCCTGACACCAGAACCAGGATCATGCCGGTGACAGCCCCGACAGCAGCAGTCTGCGCACGCTGTTTTGTGACAGAGCACGCCTTCCTGGCTCACCCTGGTTCCTGCCCACATTTTGAAACTGCCTCTTCAGCCTTTCTGACAATTTTGTAAATTCCTTTATTCCTAATTAGTCAGTTCTGTTGCTTGCAACCAAGGGCTCTAATTAATATAAGCTACTGACAATGTCATGTGCCTTGAATTCTCTGGTGTTATTTGATATTAGAATACTTCAGTGAAATGTTACAGTGTACATCCAAGTGTCATTACAAATTGATCATTAGGACTAGTTAAGTTGCCATAAATTGACATGGGTACCTTTTCCAAGGTGAGCAGGTTTATTTCAGACTGTAGGCGGATTTCTGGTTTGTTGCTTTGCTGATCCTTAAACTGATGGAACTCTTTCTCCAAAATCTTATACTTATTTTCAGCATCAGTAAGCTGTATTAAAAAAAAAAAAAGCATTACAGCCATTTTAAAACAACAGATGTAAGTTTCATATTATAGAATTCAACAGTGCCATTTTTTCTTATTCTAAATATGTTCATAGTAGAAATTTTAGAAACAAATATATGAAAAAAATCAAGATGTCTAGTAATCTTAAAAATTTAGTAAATCAACTGACAATATCTAAAAATTTTTTAAGAGTATAAAATTTCTTATAGAACCAGTATCAAGAAACCATTTTTGTTAAATTGTACATGGCAAATCAAAAAATTACCTTATAAAAATACTGATACTTTATACTTAAGATGTTACATGTAAGAAGGTTGAAGATTATATAAATAGAGCACATTATTATCAATGAAAATCAAGTTTAATTTTAATGCAGTATTTATTCTTAAAATTGGGTACTATACAAATTTTGTACTTCAAACAGTATTATTACAATTTAAGGTAATTTAAAGATTATTTGGCCCAACTCCTTCATATTTATAGGTAAGAAAACTGAGGGTCAAAGGGCTAGTGAGCTAGACAGTGGCAGAGGCAAGACCAGAATTTTGCTCTTTTCTTCCCCCAGAATAGTGCTCTAATGGAGATCAGGAGGTACTTCCTTAATTTCAGAAGGGACAGACTGCCTTAACTCAATAGTCAGTAAAGATATTCTTTTCAAATCTGAGATTTAAAACAAAAATCAAATGTAAATAAGCACCATTACAGATGCTTCCCAAAAATATAAACCAGTATAACTATCCATAATTAGTTAGGTAAACCAATTATTTCTCTTTTAAAACATAAGAAAACTAAATTTGAAATACTGAGAAAATTTGTGGTAAAAATAGATCTTATCAATAATAAATTCTTGTTTTATGCCAACAAATACAAACAATTCTAATCAGAATTTATCAGGAGTCTTTAGGTAATACCATACTACATGTATAAATATTCCAAATAACAGAAGCTTCCTTCTCTGAACATCTAAATTTTTTAAAAATTTGAATAAAAATCTTTCTAAACTATCTCACCTGTTTTAAACAAAACCTACTAAACTTAATACTTAGTATTTGTTTCCTGTTGTTCAGGGCTTTATCATAACCAATTACTGTGGTTACAATCAGGTGGTAAAGCAGTAAGCTGTCAGGCAGACTAGGCTTTTTCCTTTGCTAAGTGGTCCATAAACTACATTGATTTTTTTTTTTAGGTTCTGGTAACTGCCTTTATATATTTGAACAGAGATACTTTATCTCCATCAGTTTTTGCCTACAGTATGTCTATCAGTCCCTTCTACCTACCTAGTTAGAATTGTACATATGGTACATGTAACCTGGTTCAGAGTAGGGCTTAAAAAGGTTGTACAAAGAAAATGTTTCAGTTGTGGGCTTAGCAACATGGGTATCTCAGAAACTTCTCTGCCCCCCAGCCCCCAGTTGTTTCCCAGGTCTTTAGATTATGTTTTGGGAGTTCCTTGGGTAAGTTTTCTAAAATACTAGTTCTTCCCACAAAGGCTCTTGCTACAAAGATGTTAACTATTTACACCAGTCCAAGACAAGGCAGTTTGTCTACCTTGGAATACCCCAACCTGGGATTTTTCCACAACTCCCCTGGGTCTACATGGTGGAATCTTCCTGACAATTGGGAGAAGGGAAGCATTTGGTGAATCCCATCACAACTGCCTACCTTTTAACTTCATCTTTCATATTTTAAATGAGCTCTCCATAATAACAATCAAATTCGTATTTATGACTGCTAAATAATGTGACCTTAACTGACCCTGAACTGCTATGAGAACTACTCTTCATGCCAGACTTTACCGAAGACTTTGGAGGCATTCATCATACATCTCTAATCCACAATGACATTTTTCAAGATAAGCTTAATATTTAACAGATTAATGTTTCTATTTTTTAACAAATATGTATTAAGACCAAATTATGCAATAAAGGCTGTCTGGGCTCTAGGCATACGGATACAAAACTGAAATAGTTTTATGGAACTAACAATCTGACACTGGTCAACTTATTACATCAGTGAAAATTAAAAGAAGAGAAGAATATCCCATGAAAATACATAACAACAATTTGAAGAGCAGGGGTCAAGGACCATTTCCCTGGGTAAACAGCACACACACAGACCCTCTGGTTTTGTGATGCTAGCACGGTATGCTGGACGACCTGAGGAAGACCAGTGCAGCTGGTGTATAGGGCAAACGCGCGAGAGTGGGAGATGAGGTAAGGCAAGGTAATTATTCTGATCTTTATCCTATGAGCAATAAGATGACACTGTAAGGTTTTAGAGGAAAGTGTCATGATTCCTAATGTCAAAAATATCACTGGCTATAACAGGAAGAACAGGAATAAAGAACAGGAAAGTTCGGGCACTTACAGGAAGTTTGGGCATGGATGGGAGGATCATGCTGGGTTTTAAATGCCTTTATGCATCTAATCAGAGATGTCAAAAAGGCAGTTAGATAGCTGGGTCTAGAGTGGAAAGGAAAGGTCTGGGATAATAAATGTTAAAGACCCAGAGGTACAGACTGTCTTTGTACCCATGGGCATTAATAAGATTGTTGAGTACAAAGTAAGTCTTGAACTTGAAGTCTAACATTTACTGGCTAAAGGAAAACAAGCCTGCAAAGGAGCCTGAGAGTGGCCAGAAAAGCAGAGGCAAAAAAGGAGAGTGGTGTTGGAGAAGTGGAGAGAAGAGAATACATAAAAACAATGACAACAGTGTTGATGTCAATAACTCTGAGTAAGATGAGAAATGAAAGGTGCCCAACAAACTTAAGTGACTGAGTCCTTGGTGGCTTCTCTGACAACTGGCTGGCCGGAGCACTGGGGACTGAAAGCACAGTGCGATGGGTTGAGAGGTGAGTGTAAGATGAGGAAATGAAGAGGAGCACAGACAATTCTATCATGAAATTTGGTTCTTAACTGAATTCAGTCCAGTGACAGGAAATATACCTGTATGCTACAAGGAGACTTACCAGAAAAAGATTTTAAGCTGAGAGTTACCTGAAATGTAGCACAATCTCATGCAAGTAATTGTAAGAAAAAGAAAATTATTCCAGTATAACTCTTAAGCTTTAACTTAGGAAAAAAAGATCCAACTTAAAGTATATTTGAATATCAGTGCAATAAATATTAAATGTCCAAATTACTGTGAGTTTTTTGTAACTTTTTAGTGAACCATACCTATCATTTCTAGATGCAAATAAACTTTAAGTATAAAGAGAAGACAGGTATTTCATCCAACCTGCTGCTGAAGTCGGAGCTTATCCTCTTCCAGCTGCTTGATCTTTAACCTTTCCAGTTCTACTTGGTGAACACAATCTTCCTTGGCCCTGCGGATAGAGCTCTGAAGTTCTTGCAGATTCCGTTCACGTTCTGATTTCAGTTCCTTTCTTTCTCTTTGAAGCTTAAAAACAAGTGCATCTTTGAGAGGCTGACCTATTATGAGCTGCATTATATTATTCAATATTCTATTATCTATATAAATAGTCCAATGTTCAGAATGTTTACATTTACTTTCATATACTTTTCAGTGGAGACTTAATCTCTAAATAGTCTGAAATTGTACATTTTCATTTAATTTTAATATACAAAGTATATACAAAAATCTATTATGAGTTGTGTAAACTCAACTGAAAATGCCCTAATCACTTAAAATTCTGACTTGAATAAACCCATATTAATGTATAAGCAAATAAACCAAAGATTCTTTTCTTCTTTTAGAAAACTTATTCTCTGCCTAATCACACAGGAAATAAACTCTTAGTATTAGGAACAAATATACATTTTAAGTTTAAATATCTACATCAATTTTGACATCTCAGAAAGTGTATAAAGATAAGCTTAGGGTAATATGCTGATAAAACTTTAAGAAACATATTTGGGTAGGAAAGGAGCATATAACTTTAATATGCTTTCATATTTGAAAGGAGCATATAACTTTAATATATAAGAAATTCTAATTACTATGAAATTATTTTTATAATAATTTTTAAAAGTAGGGTAAATTTTAGTAAGACCTAACAAAAATGCGGACTAGGCCTTCTACTCATCTGTTCTTGGTAACCAATCTTCAAAGGGCAAGAGAGGTAAGTTACTTCTTACTGAAAACAAAATTAGATTCTAGACCCCTAAGCCTGGGCTACATTTTCTCTTTTCTCCAGGTAGTGCAACTATCCATTCCTTTACATAATGGGAAAGTTAGCCAAATATTCCCACTATTGCAGAAGTCAACCAAACTAGCTGAATAATAGTTAACCATTTCAAACAACAAATACTTTCTACCTGTTCCTTACATTCTGAAACATAAACATGCTTTACCCAGCTGAAGAGGAGTTTTTTCCATATTCAAAAGACAATTTCTATGAAATACATTTTATATAAATATAAAGAAAAAATGAATGGCATAAGCCTAATATATATACAGATTCTGTGAAATAAAGATATTTGATACAAGGCCCTGACCAATTTGGCTTAGTTGGTTATGCACTGTCACGCAAAGTAAAAGGTCACTGGTTGTATTCCCGGTCAGGGCATATATCTGGGTTGTGGGTTCGGCTCCCATGGGGGTGCCTACAAGAGGCAACGCATGTTTCTCACATTGATGTGTTTTTTCCCTGTCTCCTCCCTCCCTTCCCCTCTTTCTAAAAATAAATACATAAAATTGTTTTTTGAAAAAAGATATTTGACAGACAAAAAAATACCTCTGATTCTGTAATGGCAAGCTGCTGCTCTCGCTTCTCTAAATCAATTAATGTTTTTTGAAGTTTTCCTTCCAGAATAGTATATTCTGCCACCTAAAATATAATAAAATTATCTTAAATCTTTTCCCCAAACTCAAAACACACACAATTTCAAAAATATATATACAAGGACTTCCTGCCAAGATGGAGGCATAGGTATAAACACTGTACCTCCTTGCACAACCAAATTTAAGGACAACAAAGATTTAGAAACAAAAACAAACCAAAACAGACAGAAGACTGAACTGTACTGAATCCGACAACAATGAACCATTCAGCCAGACAGGTAAGAAGGGTGGAGTTGGTGGCTCGAGAAGAAGGGTCCCGGCAGGAAAAGGCGGTGGTTAGCAGACCGGGTAAGTGTGGGACAAAAACCCAGTAAGGCTCACTAGGTGGCCAGCTGACCGCAGACACACATTCGTGCACAGATAAACCAGGCAAAAAAATGGGCAGTGAGACAGACCGGGCAACCCAGGGCCCCAGCGATGGGAAATAAAGCCTAAAAGCACTGATTGGAAAACCTTTAGGGGGTTGAGGTGCCGGGAGAGGCTACCAGCCTCAAAGGAGAGTTTGTTGGGGAGACCCACAGGGTCCTAGGATGTACACAGGCCTACACACACACCCGGGAACCAGCACCAGAAGGGCCCAATTTGCTTGTGGGAAGCAGTAGAGGGGACCGAAATCCAAGAGAGAGCCCAACAAACGCCACTGCTCCCTCTCTGACCCCGCCCCCACATACGGAGTCACAACCCAGCCACCGGGGTGCCTGGCCCTGGTGAACACCTAAAGCTCCGGTCACATAACAGGTGTGACCGGACCAAAAAATTATGGCTCAAACCTGAAGAATAAATCACAGCCCCAGAGCCAATACTTTTAAGCAACCAAGAGATAGCCAACCTGTCAGATACTCAGTTCAAAACACTGGTGATCAGGATGCTCACAGAACTGGTTGATTTTAGTCATAAATTAGATGAAAAAATAAAGGCTACGCTAAGTGAAATGAAGGGAAATGCACAGGGAACCAATAGTGGTGAAAACAAAACTGGGACTCAAATCAATGGAGTGGACCAGAAAGAAGAAAGAAATAACCAAACAGAAAAGGATGAAGAAACAAGAATTCAAAAAAATGAGGAGAGGCTTGGGAATCTCCAGAATATCTTTAAACACTCCAACATCTGAATTATAGGGGTACTAGAAGGCGAAGAGAAAGAGCAACAAGTGGAAACCTTATATGAACAAATAATAAAGGAGAACTTCCCCAATCTGGCAAAGGAAATAGATTTCCAGGAAGTCCAGAAAGCTCAGAGTCCCAAAGAAGCTGGATCCAAAAAGGAACACACCAAGGCACATCATAATTACATTAGCCAAGATTAATATGAAGGAGAGAATTCTAGAAGCAGCAAGAGATAAGAGGACAGTCACCTACAAAGGAGTTCCCATCAGAATGTCAGCTGATTTCTTAAAAGAGACCTTACAGGCAAGAAGGGGCTGGAAAGAAGTATTCCAAGTCATGAAATCCAAAGACCTACATCCAAGATTACTCTATCCAGCAAAGCTTTCATTTAGAATGGAAGGGCAGATAAAGCACCTCTGAGATAAGGTCAAGTTCAAAGAGTTCATTATCACCAAGCCCTTATTATATGAAATGTTAAAATCTAAGAAAAAGAAGATAAAAAATATGAACAGTGAAAGGACAGCAAACTCACAGTTATTAACGACCAGACTTAAAACGAAAGCAAACTAAGAGGACAGTTAGATCAGGAGCAGAGCCACAGAAATGGAGATCACATGAAGGGTTAGCAACAGGGGAGTGGGAGGAGGAGAAGGGGGGAGAAGATACAGAAAATAAGTAGCAGAGACAGTAGATAAAAAATAGGCAGGGGGAGGGCAAGAATAGTATAGGAAATGTAGAAGCTAAAGAACTTGTGACACATGGACATGAACTAAAGGGGGGAAATGTGGGGAAAGGGGGTGCACAGGGGGGGAAATGGGACAACCATAATGACATAATCAATAAAATATATTAAAAAATATATATATATATACAAGGCACTATAATTAACATTCTTTCTCTCCTCCTTCAATTTCTATACAAGATAACTACCTTTTTCTTTACTAGTGATTCTCTCTCCCGGTCCCTTTTCTTCCATTCTTCTGCAAGAGCTTGCATATGAGCCAGTTCTTTCTGTTTCAGCTACAAAAGGAAGAAAAATAAATTCAGGAAAAAACCTAAATACTTCAAGTAAACAAATCAGTTGTTCTCAGTTAAAAATTAAGTGATCACTGCTCTGGCCGGTGTGGCTCAGTTGGTTGGAGTATTGTCCTATAAACCAAAAGGCTGAGGGTTCGGTCCCCGGTCAGGAGTGTTTAAGAGGCAAAGATCAATGTTTTTCTCTCTCTCTCACTCTCATGATTCCAAGTTCTAGGAGGGCACACTAAATGAGGACCTGAAATTTAAAGAAAGCTCCATGTTCTCAATCTCTGAACTCTAATCTTCAGTCCTAATTTTGCCTAAGACAAAGTTTAGGGGAAATCTTCTGAATGGCTTCTGCCACTCCATCACATTTAGAATATTTTATCCTCGATTTTTCTTTACAAGTAAGGTATTCTTGACATACAAAGGGACTAGATGGGGACCCATGGAACACAGAACATTTTTCCTTCACCATGTAGGCTTGACTAAGCAGAGAAAATAAGAGTTTTAAAGTAACATTTAGAAAGTAACCTGATTTTCAAAAATGTCTTCTTGCATCTCTTTCCACATTTCTAGCTCAAGTGCTGCCTTGTATTCTAAGGTTTCACGAGGCTCTGTCTGGATTTCCGAAGGACAAGGTGCAGGGGGAAGAGAAGGTGGCTTCTGCTGCACGGCAGCTAACCCCTAACATGGGAATAAAAAAAAAAGCACGTTGAAATAAATACACTCACTCACATAGCACATTAGGTCCATTTTAAAGAGTGACTTGATAACATGCAATGATAGGTACCTGAGATGAATCAGAGACAAAAATCTCACGTGTTTTTACTAGTCCGTAATCTTCTAGAGTCATTGTATAAGAAAGACTTATTATCCTGTTATTTGACCTACAAATGAAATAAAAAATACATTAAAATTCATGGAAACATTTTTATATTTTTTCTCTTATGTACCCAATGCTATGGTATTGAATAGACAACATTTCCTGCATCTGACACTTGCTGCTGAAACCGCAGCAGTTTTATAAGCTTCAAAAACTTCCACTTGATTTTATTTGATCACAAACACCTTATTAAGTACACACCTCTGTTTACCATAAAAAGAGATACTGTAGGTTGCTTGAAAAAAACAAAAAGTATAAAATACAAGAGCAATTTAAAATCTCACTGCCCACAAGTTATTACTGCTAAAATTTCTTTGTTTTGTTTATAGGTATATGTACTATGTACATGTACATAGTAGGACAGTTTTGTCCTTTTTTCCTGTTTACATCAAGAGCATTTTCTTTTGTCATAAATATTAATTTAAAATATAATTTCAATGCCTGTAACACATACTAAAAAATTTATGTGTTTAATAAACTTAATTCCTTTATTCTTGAATATACATAGGATTTTTGAAGTTGTTATTATTACTCTTTTACTTTTCTGAGGTTGAATATACTTGTACATAAATCTTCTGTTAGGTATGAGCACTGACTCAGGATAATTTCTAGAAGCAGAATAACTATGTTATTTTTATCAGTATGAGTATCTCTCTGTAGCATAGAACTACATGTAGCATTTATCATTAAATAAAAACAAGACAAAATGTTGGAGGAAAATAGAACTGAGCAAATACAAATAAACAAACAAACAAACACATGGCTTAGTCTAAATCAAATATATTCCAGAAACCCTGGGTTAGACAAAACTTCAGTCAATGTATCACACACAGTTCTATCACAGTTAGAACTTAATCAACTTTTACATTTTCTTCTAATCTCATAGATTTTAGAAGAAACTTGAAAAGTTTACTGAAGCCCTACCACATATGAAGTTTTCACTTAGGTAAATCTAAAATTTCTTAGTCTATAGAGCAGGGCAATAAAAGTTAATATTTATAACAATCAACATTAAAATAACTTCAAATAGTAAGGATTTGATTATTTTCATTGTATTCTACATATGATAAAAAGTGCTAATTTTTAAGAGATTTTCAACAGCAGGAGTTAAGAGAATTTTCAGTTGCCTAGAGTATCTGATTCTCAAAACACTCATTCCCGATCTTCCGAGTGAATGAAAGTGTTACCAACTAACTCACCACTCTCTGGAAGTGGCTACTGATGGGAAAGGGTACAGGAAGAAATTTCAACGTAACTTTTTAGATCTCCGCTTTTTACTGAGCCTGATTTCCTTATACCTTCTTACTATGCCTTAAAAATACAGACATGTCATACATAGTGCCAAACAATTTAAATTTCTACTGTTTAAGTTTTAAAGATCACTCAACAAATATATTATTTTGTCTGAAATATGTGAACTCCAGCTTTTCACTCTGGCAATGAATTTCAGGGCCAAAAACACAATTTTTTTTAAGGGGCAAACATCTGTAACATTCTCAGACTTCAGTAATGAGGTAAAAGTTGAAATATTTTTTAAGAAGAGAAACAGTCATGCCCAATGCAAAATTATGTAAGAATGCAGGATAAACTTGACCTTGAATTACTAAATAAAAAGATCCTGAATTTAAAATTGCCAACAGGCAATAAAAAAGAAAATATATTCAACAGTCCGAGTAAATATTATAGTATTATATAAGAATAAATTCTTCACTTTGTGAGGGTATAATGGGTATTAGAAAGCTAAACAACAAACCAGGATATAGTTCCCACGAGTCAAAAGAGAAAGATCAGTCAAAAAATGTTACGAAAAGATAAGGTTGTAGCTAGTTAATCAGAATAAAAAGAGAAGACCATTTGCAAAATGCATCATTACCCTTGTGCTGCTATAATAGGCACACTTTCACTGTGAGTCTGACGCCAACACTGTTCACCATTAGAACCTAAAAAGCGAGTTTTTTCTGCAGACAAGATGTTAGAAAGCTGGATTCTGGCGATTCCCAGAAGCAAATCTTTACTCATTTTATCCTTGTGCCATAATTCAATCAGCAATGGAATCCTGAGAAAGAGAGAAACATATTCATACCTATCAACTCTAAGTTTTTTGGACTAAAATCTTTGGATTCCATTAATGTAGTCAAAGATATATTTGTTACCTGGAATGTAAAAGCTCAATTCCATAGATAACAGAAAATTCCATTACATCTACACCTCTTTCCTTGCAATAAAGACAGCCTCCAAACACTATCATTTCCACAAATGGTTAAGTTTCAGCTACCTTTCACTCTTCCTTTTAAAATATTATAAAAATTTGAATTTTGATACTATGATAAAGTAAAATGACATTTCACAGATCTCATTTTTCTTCACAAATCTATTTCAGGTAGCTGAATTAACACCTCCATTTTACATAGATAAAAATGAAAAAGAAAATAATACACTATAGTCATTCAGTGAATCAGTAATAAAAACTAAAGAGTTCTACTTATCTCTGCATATATTAGGAAAAGGCAAGACTACTTATCCAAGTTCCTATACTACTTGTAGGCTGTTTTAACAAGTTCTACTATCTAAACTTAGGCAAATAAGATATGAAGATCTGAAAAGAGCCTTCATAACAACAAAAAACTCTGTAGCAAAGAATAAATGTCACAGACATTGTGTATTTGTTTCTAGATTCTCAAATGCATAAACTGCTATGGATTTAAGCCTACAGGAATCCCTCTTCTTTATAAAACAAACTTTTCAAGAGTTGCCTTGAGAAGATATTAATAGTGTCATATACACAGTGTACTATATACATTACCTTAAGAAGGTATCTTGCAGCTGATGAGGCATAGTCGCAAAATCAAATGCACAGTATGATTGGGGAAGAAAAACTTCCATGTTTTTCCGAACTTCTACAGGAGGATTAGTCATAATAGGAGCTGCACTTCCAAAAAATGGATACGAGTACCTAGAATTTCAGAGAAACCAAATCTTAGTGTTTATAGAATTTATACTGTTAAAAAAATTACAATATGGAAAAAACATATTGTAATTCTTGCCAAGATGGTGGCCTAGTTAGAAACACTTTGCCTCCTTGAACAACCAAAAGGAGGACAACAACAAATTTAAAAACAAAAAATAACCCAAAATGCCAGAAAACAAACCTGTATGGAAGTCCGACAACCAAGGAGTTAAAAAAGAAACATTCATCCAGACTGGCAGGAGAGGCAGAGAGGACTCAAGGCAAGACAGTAGCTGGAGGACCGGGCAGTCCCACATTTGCGTGAGGATAAACTGGGAGGAACTACTAAGGAATATGACATACCAAGCAACCCAGGGTTCCAGCACAGGGAAATAAAGCCTTAAAACCTCTGACTGACAAAACCTATGGGGGTTGTGGCAGCAGGAGAAACTCCCAGCCTCATAGGAGAGTTAATTGGAGAGACCCACAGGGTCCTGGAATGTACACAAACCCACCCACCAAGGAATCTGTACCAGAAGGGCCCAGTTTGCTTCCAAGTAGCAGGGGAAGTGACAGAAAGCAAACCGAGAGCCCAGCAAGTGGCACTGTTCCCTTCCTGGCCCCTCACTCACACATAGAACCACAATGCAGCAATGTGGGTTTCCCCCACCCCGGCAAATACCTAAGGCTTCGCCCCTTACTACATAACAGGTGTGCTGAGACAAAAGAAAAGTATGGCCCAAATGAAAGAACAGATCTAAGTTCTGTTTTTGGAGCTAAGTAATGAAGAGAGCCAACCTATCAGATGCACAGTTCAAAACACTGGTGGATCAGGATGCGCACAGAAATGGTTGAGTACAAATGCAAAAGAGAGGAAGAAATTAAGATTATGCAAAGGGAAATAAAGGAAAATGTACAGGGAACCAAAAGTAACGGGTAGGAAACAGGGATTCAAATCAACAGTTTGGACCAGAAGGAAGAAATAAACACTCAACCAGAATAGAATGAAGAAATAAGAATTTAAAGTGAGGAGAGGCTTAGGAACCCCAGGGCAACTTTAAATGTTCCAACATCCAAGTCATAGGGGTACCACAAGGAGAAGAGGAAGAGCAAAAAATTGAAAACCTAGTAGAAAAAAAATAATGGAGAACTTCCCTAATCTGGCAAAGGAAACAGACTTCCAGGAAGTCCAGGAAATTCAGAGTCCCAAAGAAGTTAGATCCAAGGAAGCACACACCAAGGCACATCACAATTATGTTACCCAAGTTCAAAAATAAGGAGAGAATCTTAAAAGCAGCAAGAGGAAAGGAGACAGTTACCTACAAAGGAGTACCCATAAGATTGTCAGCTGATTCTTCAAGAGACCTTACAGGAAAAAAAAAAAAGAGACCTTACAGGCAAGAAGCGGCTGGAAAGAAGTATTCCAAGTCATGAAAGGAAAGAACCTACATCCGAGATGACTCTATCCAGTAAAGCTTTCATTTAGAATGGAAGGGCAGACAGAGTGCTTCCCAGATAAGGTCAAGTTAAAGGAGTTCATTATCACCCAGCCCTTATTATATGAAATGTTAAAGGGACCTATCTAAGATAAAGATGATCAAAAATATGAACAATAAAATGACAACAAACTGGCAACTATCAACAACTAAATCTAAAAAAAACATTAAGCAAACAACTAGAACAAGAACGAAATCAGAGAAATGGAGATCACATGGAGAGTTATCAGTGGGGAAGGGAGAAAATGAGGGAAAAGGTACAGGGAATGAGAAGCATTAATGATAGGTACAGAATAGACAGGGGGAGGTTAAGAATAGTATGGAAAATGAAGAACTTATTTGTACAACCCACAGACTTGAACTATGGTGGGGTTAGTCCATTTGGGGGGAGAACAGACTGCCCCCCCAAAAAAACCTGAGGTAAAGAATAATAATTCTGTTTCTAAAAAGAATTTGAAGAGATGTTACATAACCTTGGAGGAAAACTATAGTTGTATGAGGAAACTTTTCTAGCCTTCAATAGTTAAGTAAAAACAACATTTTAGCAATGACTCTCAGCCTCCGACATGAGGTAAAATGCAGAACCTAAGCTGCAATGGAAAGACTTCCATTCTATGAATTCACAACCACACTGTGCCAGGTCTCTTTGATTCTGTCCATTACTCACATTAAAGCTTGGGAGATTTTGGAAACAACTTCGTAAAAAAATCAAAGAATTGAAAAATTAGATCTAGGTATGAGTTGATTTATGCATCTGAAAAGCAAGCAAGCTTCAAATAACAGGAGGAAGCAACACGCAGCCACTGACACCCGGGAATGGTGATCCAAGGTGACAGGAAAATTCACTCCCTTCAACCACACAGAGACCAACAACCTGAGTACAAATGCTGCTGCCTGCTCCAAAGAAATTTATGAGAAGAAACCAAATACTCCAACTAAAACACATTATTGTATTATAGTTAATTTCTATCTCAGCCACAAACATCTATGAAAATATATTACTAAAAATAAACCAGTGTATAAAGCCATGTAACTGAATGAAATATGTATTTCAATTTTTTATATTGGAGAGTGTGGACACATTCCACTTACAGTTCATTAAGTTTGGTTTTTAGAGTCACAGCTATAAAATGTAGGTTTTGGGAATATAACCTCCCCTCATAAAACTGTTTCTACAGAAAAATCAGATACTTTCCATTATTCTGACCTGTAGCATCATTTCCAGGAACACATTTTAAGTTCAAGAGTCACATTTTAAATAGGACCATTAATTATTATCAATACTTACAATTATTTCACTGGAACAGTTAAGACTGTTACCTCTCATTCACCAATACCAGCCTGGCTTAAGTTTGAAATCATTAGGACACAGCCTTACCCTCTTTTAGTATACTAACTCAGTAAGTGCTGTAACCTCTTTGGTGACATTTCTGTCTCTGCAACTTCCCGAAAAGAGTAAAGGCATTCCTCCTCAGAAAATAATACTTTGAAACAAAATCACATCACACCTTAATATACAGTTGATCGGAAATCCAACTTCCAAGTCGTGGACACTCCTTAAGTCTATGGAGAAGCAGAAATGATGCGATGTTGCTGGAACCGCTATCTTCTGGCCCGAGGCTGTTTCTGGAGCATTGGACGTAGTTGCTGGCTGGGCCAGTGAGGCCGGTACAGAACTGATGGCTGAAATGAATGCAAAAATGTTTCTTTAAATAATTTATCTGCTAAGTTTTTCTTAAGTTATCCAAATAATTTAAAGATATCCCCTTTACCTTCAAGTAAGGAATTTCACCATTTGGTTTTATAAACATACGAAATAAGGCATGAACACCTTAAAAGTGACTGGTCCCAAATTATGCAAACTCTCATTCTCACTATAGAACTGTGTATAAAAAAGACCATATTCTTACCCTGTACTGCAAAAATGAAAGCATACTGTACCGACGCAGTTATGTGTGACAGCTGACTGATCCCAAAGGCAGCTGAACAGAACTTAGCATTAAGGGTTATGTTTGAAACTTAGTGCAAGTATGATTACAATACTTTTTAAAAAGTAGTTTTGGTTAATTTAGGTACATATGACATAGTCTAATGAAAAGCTAAAACTTTAAAAAACAGAGCCAGCTGGTCCAACCCTGATGCAGACCAGAGATGTTCAGTGAGCGTCTCAGTCATATAAAGCAGCTCGGTGGCAAAGCTGTAATTGCACCCACATCCCTAACTCCTCACCCACCACTACTCCAGTTACTTATACTGCTAAATGTAACAGTAGGCCCTTTTGTGACAGTTGGAAAACTCTCTAAAGCCAGATAAATATGCATTCACAGACTCTTTTTAGGATCAAAAATGATTAGTATGCGTTTACTGTAAGAAACAGTAACCCTTTTAAAAATCCAATGTATTCAAGATATTTAAGAATTTACTAGTTAAAACTCTATCTGAAAGAACCAGAATTGATTTATTAAAAAACTGTATATTTATTCTTACATGTTTAAACTTCAGTCACCTTTAAAGTACTCTCCATTTGATGCAATACACCTATCAATATGTTTTTTTCTACTGCTCAAAATAGTTTTTGCGCTTCTGCCATTTTTTTGTTTCACCTCTTCCACATCAGCAAAATGTTTCCCTTTGAAGGCTTTTTCATCCAGGGAAACAAAAAACAGTTGCTCCAGATGACAATAGGTTAATCAGGAGGGTGGGGCATGAGGGTTAAGCTATTTTTGATCAAAAATTGCTGGGCACTCAGTGTAGTATGGGCAGGCACACTTGCCCAATGAAATGGGCAAGCACTTGAAAGAATAAAAAAAAAATCACTGAAGCCAAATGTAACCTCTCACAACAACAGCAGCTGGTGCAGACACTGATACAGAGGGGTTCCTAGAACACTCACTGAGTGGGGGAGCCTGTACTACAAGGGGCCCACCCTCTAGAAGATAATTTCGGGGTCTTCGTTTTTTGGTCGTCCACTAGGTGAGTGTTCTAGGAACCCTTGTATATTCTTTTTTAAATTTAATCTTTATTGTATTTTTTCTCCTATATTCTTTAATTTCTTTTGAAGAGGCTGCTATTTCTAGTACAAAAGTAAAAAGAAAAATGTTCTTACCATTTTGCAAGTTCTATAATGAAGTTAAATAGATTACAATTACTTTACAGTTATTTTTTTACACTTCTGCACATTATTGGTTCTTTAAAAGACTCAATTTTTACTTAGATCCCATGAAAAGACTCACAGTCATTTATTTGATGGCTGCAAAGGCTATACCTAAAAGATCTGTTAACAACAAAATCTTACCCTTTGGATTTGGTTTTGCGTCCTTATCATATTGTAAGCTTTCCACTTCACTTTCTGTTGCATCATCTTTGGTTGGAGGTGACTGGTCATGAGGTGTAACAGGGGACACACTTGGTGATTTTGGCTCAGTGAGTTTCTCCTTTATGGGGGTTAAAACTCTCTTCTTTGAATGCTGTGGCTCATGTTCATTCTGGGTTTTTAACTCAATTAAAGACTAAAAACAATTTTTAAATAAAGTATAATTTGCAAAGAACTTTCCTTCACAATTAAGCAAAAAACTTGACGTTGACTTTTTAAAATATAAGCTTCCTTTCCCAGTCTGGATATTCCTAGTCTATTTTTCTTCATAATTTGCAAATTTTCTTATAGCATCTAGGACCAGAAAAAGGAAGATGAACAAGAAGGAAATATATCCAGAGCTACCTAACAAAATGCATCCTAATGGGTTAGAGGGAACATCGGATAAAAGAAGTCAGGGATAGGTACCCCTGGTAATGGTTATTCATACCAAGGTCTATAATCCTTTAAAAAAATATACACACCAATGTCTAGTATGATTTTCTTCCTCTCCTTTGGTCTACTACCTTCTAAAAAATATACATATATTTCTTAAAACTCTCACTTCAGTTTTTGTATCTTTAATTCATAAGCTATATAAAGATCAATTCTTTAAAAGAACAGGATGAAGTTGATTTGGGGATACAGTATATACAATAACAAACCGTGTATGTTCAAATAAATGACAATCTCCGTTGCCTCAAGAAAGCATGGGAACTATAAAGCACTAATGAACCAAGAAGCTCATCTTAGCTCAGGTGAGTCTCCCCCCCAAAAAACCCATTCATGCAGAAAAACCCATCCAAGAAACTAGGTCTAAAAAATGTTCTCTTTTGCTGGAGCTCCTTTTCTGCCATAGTCAGTGACTATGAGTGGGGGGGGGGGGGTGATTTCTACCACATGAGAAGACTGTACCTAAAAGCTTTGCATAGTCACTTATAAACCGTAGCAGTGAAAACCACAGCACTTTTCAGAAATGTCTTTTCAGAACAGAGGTATCACATGAAGTAGGCTACTAATTAACAGTAATATATCATAAACACTTTCTCATGCTAAGTAACTCTTCCGAAGTTCAACTTCTGTGAAGAATCATGAGTAAAACCAGAGAAGCTGCAGTAGGGGAAGGGGGGTCACTACTTGCCTGTGCATCTATGCCTTCTCTCTGCAGAGCCACAGACACTCCCAGAGTTGGGGCCAGCTCCACAGGAATGGGTGCAAGCTTTTGTTTGGCTCGGTTGGGAGGGTCAAGGGTAAAAGCACCCTCAACTGTGACTGGGTGCTGGTTGATTTCTGTACTACCCTTTTTCAGTAATCCTGTCAAGGGTATTTCTGTACTTCCAAGTGACTGGTCTCCACAGCAGAGATGGATCTAATATGACAGGGAAATCAAGAGAAGGTTTTATATTTCCTTCTTCCTCCTAAACTTTTAAAGTTATAAAACTTAACAAAAACTTGTGTTCCATAGAAGGCAAGTATAATGCAGATTATCTTACTGACCTGCAGTGATTCCGTAATACATTCTGATGTGATTGTTAAAACAGCTCATTAGGCACGTTTATCAAGAAAGAATTCCATAATAAAGCTATCACTTCTTTTTCATTTTTTCTTTCAGTACTGTATAATATATGGTGCACCCTTTTTCCCCCATCTCTTTGGTGAACTATGGTTACTTTAATATTTTACTAAGCTATTTTATATATGCAAATTGTATCATATACATGAATTTAAATAGAAAACAAACACTTGAACAGTTCTTTTTTATTTCTAGTTCAATCCTAACTTAAATACATCTCTAAAAAGTTAAGTTAGTAGACCCAGCTATATTTAGAAATGAAAGAACCTCAAATTGTGTTTCATTCTCTTTTCTTGCTTTTCAGAGTTTATTTATAAAAAAATGCTTCACAGAAAAAGGTAAAGGAGAATACCCCTGAGATGGAATGTACTGTTCATCACTGACAGCTAAGCAAAACTTCGACATTACCACCTTTTGCAACAACGAAAAGGAAATGCCAAGTACATACATGCTATATAACTATTCTTTTCCCTTACTGTATTGAAGCCATGGCAAACTTACCACTCAAAGAAACAATAAGCAATCACAACATGAAAATATTTTTAGTTCTAACGTCAGCAATATCTGTAACTTAGTCTTAATGTTAGTAGGTGTGATGATTATAATGGGCTGGAGAAAAGGAATTTTTATGACTTAAATGTTCTTGAGAATCAAACAAGTCAGTACTTAGGTAAGGACTGATCAAATACAGAATAAAATTAAAGGTGGCTTTTCTCTGCATCTTATCATTTCATATAGCCTTCAGCTTTCTAAATATCCTGGATTTAGCACAGTCACCTCTAAAATTTAGTTCTACTAAAATTCCTTAATGCCTCTTCTTACCTCCCACCCAAAACACAAGCCTGATCACTTCACTATAAATAAATGACTACCACATCCTATAGATGACTATCCCCTTTTAGCTTAATTTAAAGCAATTGTAATAAAAATAGAACAGTAATTTTCACCAGATAAGCTTCACTTTGGTAGTCCACTTTGAAATTAGTTTATAAAAACACCCATTCAAGGGCAGGTTTTAGAAAGTTATGTTATCTCTTTGCTTTAAAAAATATATATTCATTTATTTATTAGAGACAGGAAAGGGTGGGAGAAAGAAAGGGAGAAAAACATCATTGGCTGGCTACCACCTGCACATGCCCTGACATGGGGGTAAACCCGCAACCCAGGCATGTGCCCCAGCTGAGAATCAAACCGGGAACCCTTTGCTTTGCGGGTGACGCCCAACCAACTAAGCCTGACTGGTCAGGGCTCTCTTGCTTTAATAGCAATGAGGAGTATAAATTCTGAATTCTATCTAAGTGGGATCTTTGTGCTTTCAGCTATCTCCACCAACAGTAACAAAATATTCCCTGTGCTCACAGCTTTAAGTGTCAAGTATAATTTTTTATTACAAAGGACTGATAAGTGACATATCTCTTTTCACAATTAACTAGGAAGGAGGTAAATCTCTTAGAATTCTGAAGTAACTATTATGCCATTACTTTACAAATCAGGACAATTCCTAAAACATTAATAAAAGATGTGGCAGAAAAAATGAGCTCCAGTAGGTAAGATGGTTTAGGTACCTTTCTAATGCTTAAAAATATCATCTCTAATAAAAAGAAACAATTTTCTGCAGTACTCACCTGTAGTTTAGACTGAAGGGCCAGGTAAACACGAAGAATTTCTACACTGCTTCGTATTCGAACAGATGCTCTTTCTGGCTCAAAGTTTGGGTTGATCAAATCACTGAAGGGTTCATTTGTAACATCATTTCCCAGTAAAGAATAGTAAAAGAAAAACTCTGGCTGTCTTTCTGGAAGTTTCATGGTACATGGAATTAACTAAACATTTAAAAATAATGAAAAAAAAGAGAGTATTACTTTGTAAACCACTAAACATGCTCAGTATGTCTGATGAGCTCCAAAAATATTTGCAAAAATGTTAACAATTTTTTAATTTCAAGTCTTAAAAATCACTCAAAATCTCTAAATATCTGCCAAATTACGTTCAAATTACTAGTTTAATTAATTTTTAGAAGTTTATCTTAGAAGAGCACAGACAAAAATAATTTTATAGATTTATATTGCTATAAAGTTTACATTTCATTCACCTGATCCATGAATACATGAAAGTTCATTGAGAAGAAAATGGCCAAGTGTTTTACAATTAAGTTTTCCTTATTTCCACATACCCTAAAATCCTTCCTTACTCTGCCATCCTCTTCATGAATGAGAGAAGGTTGTTAAAAAATCTTAATCTAGGCTATTTAATATAATACCTTAGTCCTGACTTTTGACAGAAAAATATTTAAGCCACTCCATCAAAATTTGGAGACCTGTAAATTAGCAATTGCTGAAGGATACCTTATGTACTAGAAGTAGTATTAAAGTTGGTAGAGTCGTGGCCACATATGACATAGACATAGGAGTCTTGTCCCATAAAATATAAAGCAGCTTCTAACAGACCCTTAATGTCCATTAGAAAATTGTTAAAAGTAACAAACTATAAACAACTTATCAGGAGATGTTCATTGTCTCCTTAAATCACATAAATATATGAGGTCTGTCCAGAAAAATTCCATCCACTGTTAATACAGTGAGAATGGTTGGTAAGACATCAATGTAACCTGGCAGCCAATAAGAGTAGACTGGAATATGCATGCATGAATAATGACGGCTTCACTGTAGTAGTCAGTGGGGGTGCAGATGTCATTACATGAGAATGTGTGGCCATTGCACTCAAAATGACTGAGAGAATAGAACAAATCTGCATCAAATTTTGTGTTGAGCTTGAACATTACTCTACAGAGGCTATTTAGATGATTCAGAAGGCCACAGCTACAGGTAACTGGTGACTGCCAGCTTCATCACAACAATGCACCAACTCATGCATTGTGTTTCGTGCAGAATTTTTTTGGAAAACATCAAATCATCCAGGTGATTCGACCCCCTTATAGCCCAGATTTAGAGCCCTGGGACTTCTGGAAATTCCCAAAACTAAAATCACCTTTGAAAAGGAGGAGATTTCAGACTAATCCCATCGGGCAGCTGACAGCTACTGGGAGAACTGTGTGAGGTCCCAGGGTGCCTACTTTGAAGGGCACTGAGGTGTCATTGTCCTGTGTGCAATGTTTCTTGTATTTTGAATCTTTTTCAGCAAATGTCTCTGTTGTTCAAAGCACATGGCTGAATACTTTCTGGACAGACCTTGTATTAAGTAATCATACAGTGTCTGCTAAATGATGATATAATGACATGAAAGTTATCTGAGATATAATGTTAGGTAAAAATGTTATATGGGAGTTTGTATAGTTTATATAAAACTGCTATAACCACTTAGATTAAAACAGATTAAAATGAATTTAATTCATGTACTGAGCACATAGTAAATATTCAATAGTTATTTTTTTTAATGTAAAGTATAAAGTCAAATAGGTGGTCAAGATAGCAGAATAGATAAACCTTTGCTCACCTCTTCCCATGACCATATAAAATTCTAGAATAACCACCATTAAGAACCACACAAAGACTAACTGAACAGAATTCCTATGACTAAGGATATAAAGAAGCTGTGTTGAGACTGGTGGGAGGGGCAGACATGTGGAACAGGCAGGTCCCATACCCAGAGTGTAGCAATTTAGAATCAGGAGGAATATCTCTGCTGCAGAAGTCCCCACTGAGGAGCAAGGGGTCCCAGACTTAACACTGGGCTCCCAAGCCCAGGACACCAGTACTGGGAAGAGAAGTCTCCAAAACACTTGGCTGTGAAAACAAGAGGGAACTGTGTCTGTGAAAGACAATGAATGGGTTGCTTAAAACCTAGGCACAGCATCTTAAAAAGCCTGACAACAGATTCACTTGGAAACTCACTTGCTTGGAGCTCCAGCATAGTGGCAGTAACTTAAAGATCCTAAGGGGCATATGAGGAGAAACTGAAATGACTGGCTTCAGGGCGAGGGCTACAAGGCAGGGGTACAGGCAGCTCCCTCGAGGACCTAAGTGTTGGTGGACACCACTGTTCCTTTGCAGAGCCTTCCCTTCCCCCACCCCCCAGCCAGCAGATACCAAATCTAATCTTTGCATCAACCTGGCTAACAGTGTTTGCCCCTCCCTGGTGATTCCCTGAGACCATGCCCCCCACCCTACTCCCAGGCCTGATCCAAACCACTTTCCATAGCTTTTCCACACCAGTGGCTTGCCTTGGCTCACACTGCACTTTCCTAAAAGCTCTCAAAGGTCCACAAATCCCAAACAAGCAGCTGCTGACCTCCACAAGCCCTGTGCCTCTTGCTAAGGAGCCCCCAAGCCCAGCACTAGGGGCAGCCAATCTCACTTTGCAGCATAACCTCTCCCAGGAACCTTGAAGTCCAAGAGAGGTGGCAACCAACTGCAGATGAAATTGTAGCTCCTACCAAGTGGCTTTAGGCCAGGTACCAGCAGAAGTGGACCTTGGCTTGCGCCAGAGCCCCTCATAAGATGCCTCAGAGCTAACATACCTAGTAGCTGGCTTCAGAGGAAACCAGAGCACCACCCAATCACCTTCACAAACACCACACCCAAAGGGCAGACTTGATATGCACCAGAGTCCCACTAAAGCAACTCCTGCTACATAGATTCAACCTTTGCACAACGGCTCATCTGCTACTGTCACAGTCAGTCAGCATAAGGATCAATTGCATCTACTGACATGCTTACCACAATCAAGGCTCAACTGCAACAGGAAGGTACCCACCACCCACACAAGGGACACCCCTGGAGCATCCGGCTTAGGTGACCAGGGAGACTGTGTCACTGGGCCCCACAGGACACCTACTATATAAGACCACCCTGCCATGGCTAGGAGATGTAGATCTACCTAATACACAGAAACAAACACAAGAAGCCAGCTAAAATGAGGAGACAAAGAAACACACCACAAATGAAGTAGAACAAAACTCTGGAAAAAGAACTAAGCAAAATAGAGACAAGCATATTGACAAAATAGAATTCAAAACATTGTTTCTAAAGATGTTAAATGATTTCACTGAGAACTTCAACAAAGATACAAAACATAAAAATGGATACAGAAAACAAAACAGAACCAGTCAGATGTGAAGAATACAATAAGTAAAATGCAAAAATACCTTAGAGGGAATCAACAGTAGATTAGCTGAAACAGAGGATCAAGTCAGTGATCTGGAAGATAAGGTAGTAGAAAACACCCAGTCAGAACAGCAAAAAGAAAAAAGAATTTAAAACATTAGGATAGCTTAAGGGACCTTGGGGATAACATCAAGCAAGCCAACAACTGCATCAAAAGGGTACAAGAAAGAGAGAGCAAGAGATTTAAAAACCTATTTGAAGAAACAATGATTGAAAACTTCCCTAACCTGATGATGGAAAAAGACATACAAATCCAGAAAGCACAGCGACTTCCAAATGGGATGAACCCAAAAAGGCCCACTCGAAGACACACATAATGAAAATACCAATGGCTATAGACAAAGAGAGACTTTTTTTCAAAGTAGCAAGAAAAAAGCAATTATTATATACAAGGGATAGTCAGCTGAGTTCTCAACAGAAACTCTGGAGGCCAAAGATATTGGCACAAAGTATTCAAAGTAATGAAAAACAAGGCCCTACAACCAAATTTGTGGGGTAGAGTAGCCTATGAATTAAAGTACACACAGTTTCCAAAACAACAAAAAGCTAAAGGAGTTCATTGCTACTAAACCATTATTATAAGAAACATTAAAGGGACTTAAGAAAAAACAAGAAACATGAATAAGAAAATATTGGAAAAATATTCTCACTGATAAAAGCAAACAATATAAACAGTGGATCAACCAACTATAAAGCTAGTATAAAGGTTAAAATAGACTACTATAAACATAGCTCCGTATATATGAAGCACATGGTACCCACAAACCAAAAATCTGTAAGAGATAAAAAAAATGAAGAAAAAGGAATCCAAACACAACACTATAGAAAGTTACTAACATACAAGAGACTAAGAAAGGAAAAGAGAACTACGAAAACAATCAGAAAACAATGAATAAAATGGCCATAATTACATACCTATCAATAATAACATTAAATGTAAAAGGAGTAAAGGGTTCAATCAAAAGACACAGGGTGGCCAAATGGATAAAATCATAAAACATGTATACATGCTGCCTACCAACTTCAGACTGAAAGAAAAAGACTCACAGGAAAGGGATGGAAAAAATATTTCATGCAAATGGAGAAAAACAAAAAAGGTGGGGTAGCAATACTTAGACAAAATCACTTCAAAACAAGGGCTGTAAGAAGAAATGAAGAAGGGTTTTTCATAATGATAAATGGATCACTCCAACAAGAGGCTATACCTCAGGTAAATATCTACGCACTCAACACAGGAGCACCTAAATATATAAAGCAAATATTGACAAACATAAGGGGAGAGATCAACGGTAATACAGTCACATTAAGGGACTTTAAGACCCATTGACATCAATGAATAAATCAACTAGACAGAAAATCAACAGGGAAACAGTGGCCTTAGATCACCTTCCACCATATGACTGAAATGATATTTTTAGGTAATTTCACCCAAAAACAAAATATACAGACTTTTCAAGTACACATGGAACATTTTCCAGCATAGACTACATGTCAGGCCACAAAACAAGTCTCAGTAAATTTAAGAAGATCAAAATCATTATCAAGCATCTTCATTGAGGACAATAGCATGACACTAGAAAAACAATTACAAGAAGATAACTGAGAAACAATGCATAAGCTAAATAATGCAGTGTTGCAACTGTCACAGCCAGTCAGCATAAGGGTCAATCGCATCTACTGACATGCTGTCTTGCAACTAA